CAAAAATATTAAAATTAAAAAAATAAAACTTTCAAAATAAATGTATGCAATAAGGATATAAAGATGAAATATTTAACTACAACTATAGTATAGTATAGTATGTTGTATTTTAAAATCACAAAAATTAAAAAAAAACTTCAGGAAGTTTACAAGCCTATGAAGTAAAAAGGTTACAGTGAACAAAATATATTCCAGAGAAAAGAAAAATGTATTTGATAGTTAGTAGATCCTAGGTGCACAATGTTTATACAGTCTACAGTAGCATGCAGTAATGTTCTAGAACTAAACATTCACTCACCTGTCACTCCCTGACTCACCCACAGCGACTTCCAGTCCTGCAAATACTGCCCTATTGCCATTAAGAAAGTCTTTTATAGCATATTTTATGGTGTCTTTCATATATTTATGTACTCAACAGTGATATTCTTTGTAGATTTGTGATCTGCTTGCAACAGGTTGTACCATGTGGTCCTGGTATGTCCTGGGCTATACCATATGGGTTCATGTGACTGCACTCTGTTAGATCTGCACAATGGCAAGTTGCCTCATGTTTTACTTCTCAGAAGATACCTCTGTCTCTGAAGTACACATGATTATGTGAGTGTAAACTTGCACTGCATCCTGGAATATTTGTTTCACTGTGAAGGCTCCCATGTTATGTTTGCTTGTATTGAATATGGTGTATTGCTTTTCTTCTGTTGATGAATTTTATGCTACTTTCTCAGTATGAAAAACTGGGGATGTAAACGAAATGTTTTGGTTCCCCTAAAATTTCAAATGTCTTCTTTTAGATTGTTATCTTGCCCTTTTATCCTATAAATATGTCTTTTGAATAATAAAGTTTTATATTTTTAACAAAATCAAATTCAGTTTCTTTCTGTTTAACTTCTAGTCATTGCAACGTGTTGGTTTTGTATTCTGCTATCCTAAAATTGTTCTTGTTGCAATCCCTACATTTATGTTTTCTGTCTTATAATCCCTCCTGAATTATAGATATGTATTTACAGTTTTGGACTTGATACAATGCTTGTCTATTTAAAATGTAACAGATTCAGAAGGAAACTCTTGATTCTTCAGATCCCTGAAACCTAGTTTTTCCCAGATTTTCTCATCTTAGTTGTATACATCTAAAACTTGATTTTTTCTTCTCTTCAGTTCCTTATTTAATAAATTTGTTATTTCTTGCTGCAAATATTTCCAAAATTCAAATGTTTTCAACATCATCTCTGCTCTTTTTAGCCTAGTTTTTATTTTATCTTTTCTTTTGGTGAATCCAAGGATGTATTAATTCTCGCTTTTACATTTATCTGTTTCTAGTTCTTTCTCTTTAGAATAACCACGTTTGTCCTTAGCAAGTGAAAATTTTGTCACGATTTCTCTTCAAATGCTTAGTCATGTTTAGAATAAAATAGGAATGTGATGTGGTTTCAAGCCTATTTTGCCCGTCTCATCTAGTATCAATTTTTCTTGCGTTACTTTTGCATGATCCTCTTTGTCTTTTTACTGTTTTCCTAAAGCACTAAGTTGATAGACGCCTTAAGATCTTACACTTGCTTTTCCTTCTACCTGGCTTTCCTCCTTGTTAGAACTCCGTTTGATCAGCCTAAAATAGTGCTTGTAAAACAGTGCTTGTTACACAAAAATACTAAAGCATTATTGAAACTTAAAAAAAAAAGGATGGATAGATCCATGAGTTTTTAGGGGGAAAAGCTCCTCTCTTAACCCTTATGAATTCAGGGCCCACGCAGGTGGGACATCTGCTCTTCTCCCATGTATATTAGCAGGAGCTGAGTCAGAAGTAGAGCAGCCAGAACTTGTCCTGGAACCATATGGAATCCTAGTGTCACAGCCAGCAGCTTTACCTGGTAAACCACAACACTAGCTCCGGGATCTGATATGTGTGTTCAACATAGCCCCTCCCCGCCTCCAAAAACTTCCAAAACATTTCTTCAGGTGATCATTCACATATTGCCTACAAAGTTTTTACCTGAAAATAAATCTCTTCCTTTAAAAGACAATAGTATCTTATGGGAGAAAACCACCAGAGACATTGGGGGAAATGACCTATTTCCTCCTCAGTATTTGACTCATTCTTAACACACGGAAAGGACTAGGTTTTTGAAGTTTGATTTATGTAGTTAGTTTAAAGAAAAGAAAAAAATCATGTTGGGTATTTGAATCATTTCAGACTTAGCAAAACTGGTGAAGAAGGAAGTGAGCTAGAGTCAGTGGAAGGCTCAGATTTGTAATCTGAAAAGACCATAGTTTCCTTTTACCTAAATACAGAGTAATTATAGTTCATGGCAAACTGATGCTTTGGAAGACTCACTTTTGATTTTACTATAAAGTTAATATATTTCAAAATTGTATTTTGTGAACCCCTTTCTTCTTTTGTTGCCCTGTAACGAATGTCAATATTTTTAAAATCACTTCAAACATGATTTTTATATTGCATATTTGCCAACACTGCGGTTCTAATGTATTAATGGCAAGGACAATGCCTTATTTGTAGCTTTTTGCATTCCCAATGTCTAACAAAGAACCTGGAACATAGTAGGATTCAAATTTGTTAATGACTTAAATTCTGTATTTAGTACTAATTGTGTAAACTTCCTGGGATATATCTCTTTTCATTAGTTCTCTTCATCATTTTAAACTCAAGAAGATGTAAATTGAATATTACTTATGCAGTTTTGTCTTTTTATTGGATAGTATGTTGACTTTCTATATGCAGAATTCTCCATGGCATTAATTTTCTACTACTAAATCAGAGGGCACTATGGACAGTTTTGACTAGAGCTTCCAAAGTAATTTTTGAAAGCATGAAAGGTTATGGACTACCAATACCCTGAAAATAATCCATGTTTTTGTTTTTTCATGGAGTCATGTATGTTTCAATAAATGGGAGTCTACATAATAAGACAAAACATTCTTGGGTCCAAAACAGTGGCTTAATTGGCTAATCCTCACCTCTCAAATGCTAGGATCGCATATGGGCACTAATTCTTGAATTGTTGCTCCATTTCTCATCCAGCTCCTTGCTTGTAGCCTGAGAAATCATCAGCAGATGACCCAAGGCCTTGGAACCCTGCACCCATGTGGGAGACCAAGAAGAGACTCCTGGCTCCTTGCTGTGGCAATTGTGGCCACTTGGATAGTGAACCAGCAGGTGGAAGAGCTTGCTTTCTCTCTTTATCTGTGTAAATCTGCCTTCCCAATAAAAATAACTGAATGTTTTTTTAAAAAATTCTCCAAATTACTACATGTTTCAATAAATACTTGAATTTCCTCTATTTTTAGCTAAATAGATGCAGTCTTTTATATAACATTTTCCTGTTGGGGATGAACAGAGAAGTAAGTCTGAAATAATTTGGGGCATGTGCATATTCATAGAAACACACACCTGCATAGACACCCAACATTATTCCCTTGCGGCTTGCTCTAAATTACCACGCTAATGTTGCCCTCCCAGGGTGCAGCCAGGGAGTGTCAAGCTGGATGCTTGCCTCCGTTGTAGACTTGATTACAAGGCAGCAGAAAGCATCACATCTTCCAGTCTAGTTGGCAGTTCTGTCACTGGAGAACCAATTACAAGAATTGCTTTTTATTGTCCTTCAGAAACCATAATTTTTACAAATAATTGCAAGGGAAAAGGTTGTGAAAGAGTTTATTTGTAGCCAAGTGTACCAGAGGTTTATTTGTACAATTCACCAAGACTTAGATGCTTGTTTTCTTTAAAAGTGCATATTGGGAAATACAGTGAACTTTCACCACAGTGATTGGAACTTCCGTGATACCTAGGGGTAGAGTCAGATTGCGGATGTCTTGAAGATCATGACTGCTCATGCTTGGAAGCACTCGGAGCCCATGAAAATCAGTAACATTAGTGTTTCAGACTACGTGTATTGTGGTGCTACTCAATTTTAATGGGCTTTCTCTAATTTATGTTCATTTGTGGAATATTTGTGTGTTTGTTGGGGAGAGAACGAACAAAGAGGTGAGATAGAGATAAAGATAGTAATAGAGATGATGGAGACATCCATCTCTCTTGAAAACAGTTTTATAGATATTAAGCTATTTAATTGCTCTTTAAGACAACACTTCTGTCAATGTTTCTTTCATTTTCAATTCGTAACTCAGGTTTCGCAAGTGAGCATCCTCTTTACCCTGGAAACTGCCAGTAATGTAAAGTTGGTGGTAGGAAATTCTTCCTGATGGTTAAATCTTTAGCTTTCAAAATTTCTACTATTTAGTTGTTCCAAGGTGCTATGCAGTCACAAGATACCTGAGGAAGATGTGAACCTGTATTTCCTCAACTTCTTTCTGGAGGAGATAACTTCAGATAAGATATTTTTGATAAATGTTTATGAGAACAGTGTTTCTTTGATCTAAAGTTGTGGAGCAAACTCTTTAACTTTGATCTGAAATAACTGACATACATCAGTTCCTATGAGAGCCTGTTCTTGCAGCACAAATTAAGATTGCTTTGAGACCATAACATTCTTTCACATTCTTAATTTCAGGATTCATGTTTCCTATAAATTGTTGAATCATTAGAAATGTTAAGTAAATTGTTTTTTTCCTTTTTAAAATTTTTTTTTTCCTTTTTTTCCCTTCTCTTGCCTCACACTGTTCTTTTCTTCTTGGATGCACTTCTTCTCCCTAACTTTGTACATTCCATTCACTTGTCAGCCTTGAGGAGACCTTCTCAGGGGAGCTGGGAGTCCACAGGGCACGCCCTCCAGGTGTCTGGTTTCCTCACTAGTAGCACCTAAAGAACTTTAATGAAATTGATAACTCTGTAACTAGTTCAATGTGTTTCCTATTTCAGTCACAGTACTATGCAACGTCCTTACATTTGTCTTGAGGAAATATAAAAAAGGAAATACTAAGGAAAGATTAAATCCTGCACAACAAACCATGTTTATGTAACAGGATGTTTGGGAGTTTTGGACAGACTCAGTTGTGTGTTGACTTTTCCCAGAGGTGTACTGATGGAGCTACACCCCAGTTTGCTCTCTAATCCAGTCTCGGTAGGCTGTCACGCGCGTGTATACTCCTGGTTTGTCAGGCAAGCCACACTCATAACCCCAGCTTACTATCCCCACCAGGAACCAAAGCCGCCGGGAGTCTTCCTGCACCAGTGGGCCGCCAGAGTCACCCTAGAGGAAACAGATTTCTGGATTATTTAAGTGTGAAGACAATTCAGGAATACTGAGTATATGTCTATGGCAGTAGAAGTTACATCTAGCCCATCGTTAAAAGATCAGCTGTTACCTTTTGAAAATTATACCAACTCATACAAAAAACTGGAAATCCTTGCCTTCTTGGCAAGCCTGGGAGGAGGATGCAAACCCATGTCCCAGAGTTCCCTGAAGTACTTCCTGTTTGCCCATCTATTCAACTTTAATGTCATCTCCTTCAAAAAGCCTTCTCTGATCACTTCCTTTCTTCTACCTCCTCCAGCTCTGGGTTCAGTTAGGTTTTCATTTTTATTGTATTCCCACATCCTGTGTATATCTCTGTTGCTGCTTGATTATTTCTTGAAAGAATCTTTAAGTGCCTGTTTGAACTTATTCCCTCAAGTTCGTTCTCATTGTAGCAGTTGCACATCTTTGTAACATTCATTGAATCTACAACATTTGTTATGCCTATGCTTTTCCAGCTCTACTCTAGGGGCCTTTAGCAGTTTGAGCACACCTGTTCTGGACACTGCTATAGTCTACACTTTAACCCATTGGTGATGTTAAAGAAGTAGTTATTTTGGGGGGGGGTTAGAGGATGTAATTATTTTATTTGAAAAGGAGAGAGAGAGAAAGAGAGAGAGAGAGAGATCTCATTCATTGATTCATGCCCTAAATAGCCACAGAAATTGAGTTAGGCCAGGCAGAAGCTAGGAGCCTAGAACTCCATCCAAGCCTCCCATCTAGAAGGTATTTGTAGAATGAATGGTGTTTGGGAAGTCGGACATATTTTCCTGTCCTTTACATTCTGTGTGATGTCTGATACATAGTGTGTCTTCAGAAAATAGTCATTTGATGAATAATTGAGTAAATGAATAATTGAAAAGAATTATATAGTGGGGCTGGTGTCATGGCTAAATTGGCTAATCCTTTGCCCGCAATCGCTAGTTTCCCATTTGAGGGCTAATTCATTTCCAGGACGTTCCACTTCTGATCCAGCTCCCTGCTTACAGCCTGGGAAAGTAGTGGAGGATGGTCCACATCCTTGGGACCTGGCACCTGCTTGTGAGACCTGGAAGAGGCTGCTAGCTCCTGGCTTCAGATCAGTTCAGCTCCAGCCATTGCAGCACTAGGGGAATGAACCAGCAGATGGAACATCTTTCCATCTCTCCTTTATTTTTGTGTATCTGCATATCTATTTAAAATAGATAAATTTATAAATAGATAAATTCTGTAAAAATAGAAATTTATATAGAAATAAGGAAAACATTACTTGTGAGATATTTATCACCTAATTATAATAGCCTATGAACCAAAAAATGTACATGTAATCATATAGTTTGGGAGGCAAATTCTGTACATCTTAAACACTGTGCATCTAACACACTGCACAAATGGGTTAAATCTATGGATCTAGCACTAGTCAGCCTGGGTTCAAATCATTCACTTACTGCAGTAAGCTATTTAGTCGTTCTCTGACTCAGTCGTCTCATATCTGCATTAGTAAATGATGCCTGCATGAGTTTAAATTATTTTAACACACAAAGCACTTTTGAGCACCTCCAAAATATGGTTAATGCTAATAAAGCCAGCTACTATTACTGAGCACACATCTTGAATAGCTGGATTTTTTTTTTTGACTACTCTTAGCAGTCAGCTTTTCCATAGCTAATTACCAGTACAGATGGGGAGAAAAGTCAACGTGTGAATCACCAACTTGCCTGACAAGTACTGTGTGCAGCAGTTTGTTTACATTCGTTTTGGTGTAGGAAAGCATGTTGTGATTGCGGAATATAGTATAAAATAATTAAACTAGATAGCATGTCACTCATGTCAAATACTTTTTTTGGTTGTGAGAGCATTTGAAGTCTCTTAGCATTTTTAGGTGTATAATACTCTATTACTAACTAATCTCATGCTGCTGTGGGATATTATTTCTTTAACCCTTTTGTAGATAGATAAGTGAAATGAAAGAATCTTGTCTGTAAAATCTGGATCATGAATTTTGAGATGCCGTAACAGAGAATGGCACTGTGGTGAATGTACATTTCTCGGGTATGGACATTGATGACGATGGTCTTGAATTTACCTGGCATGCATCCACTCCTCCTTGAGATAATCCTGCGCACATCATTCCAGACAAGACAGCTCCATTGTACATTGTTGGTGCATTACACACATCGTTACTTATGATGGTGACCCTTCCTTGTTGTAGATAGGTAACAGTGTCTCCTATTTAGTGTAAATGCAGAAACAAAAGGGACTTCAGGATATGTAAGTTAATGCTGAATTGGAGAAGGAATAAATATATGTGAAAGCTATTTCTTTTTATCAAGGAAGGCAGCTGAAAATGTACGTAGGGCTTTCTTCCTAGCAAAGAATTCCATGGTTGAGAAGGGGTTCCTTCAGACAGGAGAAAATCCATTTTTTTTGTAGTAGTAGTTTTGTATTACAATAACTCTTAGCCCATTAGAGAAAACAAATTTATTTCGAAATGAGCTTTAGAATAGAAAAACAACATATTGATTAACCTTTAATCTCAAGGCAAAAGAAGATGCCAGACTAGCTTGAGGGTTAACTAAGAAGCAGTACTCAAAGAAGCACTGTTATAATTTTCCACAACTAGAAAATTTGTATTTATTATGTCAAGTTATTCTGTGCACCTCATAAAATTGCAATGAACACAATGAAATACTTTCTAGGATAATTGAAGTTTGGATTACTTCTTGGAGAGATGAGTAAAAGTCAAGACAAATTGCTGATGCTATCCTTCCATTTTCTGGTTAATACTCCAATTTTCCATTTTACTTTCACATTGTGCTCTGTTTAATATCTGTTTTGTTCATTCAGTAATCACATATGAGCAGTGCTTGTGTACATGTGAAATTTTTTTGCCATGGGATCAATATTTATTTCACCCAAGAATGCTTTAAAGGGTGGTTTGTATTTTAAGAACTGCTAATGACTTCAGGCAATATATATCCACATGCAGATGCCATTTCTATCTGACAGAATCTCTGGGCTATTATAGAACTCACATTTTTTCACCATCTTTTTTGTGTTTCCCTATTGCTGTAATTGCAAATTCTGCATAATTTCTGAGAATATGACTTTGTCTGCTGAAGAAATTCAGGGCTGCTGGTTGTTAGAAAATAGTATCATTTTGTCTATAGAACTTTTCCAGGTGTTACTTAAGTAAAATAATTACATAATCACACGTAATAGGAGATTTTATCGATGTTAAACTTTCCCCCCTTTTTTTTTTTTCTTAAGGCACTTACCACCATATTCTTGAGACCCCCATCCTGTTATATAAGCAGAAGAACCCGTGACAATGCTCTGAGTGGCCTCTGGGAGACACACACTGTGGATGTTTCTGGTGAATGTGACAGCTCCACTAAGTTGCACAGCTGCAATATCATTTTCATGGCTTGCATGTTTGTAATTGCCATGGACTATAATTGCCCTTACATTTCTTCTCTGTGTAGGAGCTGCTGTGGAAATACCAAAGGTTGCAGACCACTGGCGAGGGTCAGAGTTGCTAAGAAAAAAGACAAAACAAAACAAAACAAAACCCCATGAAAACATGCTATTTTAAGAGGAAATGTGGGAGCATTTCAAACGTTTTGAGCTTGTGTTTTCCACCTCTAACCTCCTACCACTATGTGGGTAATATTTATTTAGCAATTCTTTGCTATATGTCCCTAATTGGTCAGCTATTAAATGAGTTTAACATCTTGCTAGTAGTATTAAAGATCATTTATTTAAAGAAATAGAGAAAGATTTTAGAGAAAAATCTTGAGATGATGATAGTTTTCTATTCTAATGAAGAAATTGTGATATTTTTGTGGCAATTGGAATAACTAATCTTTCTCTTGATTTTTTCTTAGTCAACATTTTTCCATTCAAGTAGCTAAGCCTGAAATAATGGACATTTTAATTTAAAGTCATTCCTTTAAATCTCACTTTTTTCCTTTTATGGCCCCAATCCAGAAGCCCATTTAAATAGCAGCACTAAGGGATATTGTTAATTGTATGAATGGATACAAGGTTTTTCTGTTCTAAGTGAATGTGATGCTATTTATTTGTTTGTACATGTGTATACACACATTTATATGGAGATAGAAAAAGAGAGAGAGAGAAGAGGAAAAATAAGAAAAAGAAGAAGAGGAAGAATAAGAAGGGAGATAAGATTAGCATAAAATTACGGAAAAATTTCACTTCTACCTAAGAACTGGAATTTTGGCCAACTCCCCAAAACACATACAATAGGTTAAAAAGGGATGAATTAATTTAAATTTAAATTTAAGTAGATCATGTGTTACTTTACAGACAGATAGGAGACCATGAGAAAAATGCTGGCAATATATTTTTCTAGAATATATACAAAATGTTTGTTAAAAAAACAAAAAAGGAAAAAGAAAACATTATAAAATGGACTAAGAACAGCTGATAATTTATGGAAGGGAAAGTCCAAACAATTTTTAAATATATGTAAAAATACTGCAAGAAGATGCAGTCAAGGGAAGGAGTAGGGTATCAAACTTTGGTGTCCAGATAATGAATCAAAAGTGTACGTAAGTGTATTGATTTGCCTCTTAACCATAGGCTGAACACCTTCTCCAAGGTACATGTGTATTTAAACATATATTTTAAACTTCAAGTATTTCACATATTAGTGAAAGACCTGTGGGTAGAGGGAGGGTAATGGAATTGGGATCCAGGGAAGGCAAGAAAAAACTACAAAATAGAGATCTTGTACAAACTAATGATAATGAGGATCTCTGAACTGGATGCTGATTAATTTAGCGCTACTCCTAAGTTTGGATAATGCAACCAAATGATTTAAGAGTTTCCTCCAGAATCAAGATGGCAGAATGGGGTGAGGAAATGTTTAAATAGATGGAGAAATATTAGCCAGTGTGAAGCAGAGAGTTCAAATTCCAGGAAATAGGAGAGGGCAGAACAACAGCAGAGGTGTACCTGGAGACTGACAGACAGGAAAGCAGCTAAAACAATGGTGTGGTGTTGCAGTGACTGATACCCCAGCAGCATTCACAAGTGACTGCAAACAAAGAGCCGTGTACCAACTGCAATAAATATAACTGAACTGTAGACCTGTGGGTGACACAGCTTAGAAACTTCCTCCAAGGAGAAGAATGTACAATGACTAAGAAGTACAATGACCAAGAGCAGAAGAAGAGACAAGGGCACAGTGAATATTAGTGAAGACTCCCGTGCAAAGGATCCAGAGTAAACTGAGGAAGAGCTAGAGAAAATGGGGGACACAGAATTCAAAACAGTTATTATCCAACTTCTTATCAATAACGAGAAGCACTTAAAGCAGGTATCCAAGGAATTCAAAGAATATATCGCACTGGAAATGAATCAAATTAAAGCTGATCTATCACAAATGAAGAATACAGTGGAACAAATTAAAAGTACAGTGGAGAGTCCAAAATAGAATGAAGGAGGTAGAAGAAATAATCTCAAGATTAGAAGATACTTCCTGTCACCAGGGGGAAACAAATAAAAAGTAGGGAGCAGAGCTGGATCAGGCCAAGAAAAGTATTCAAGAATTGAAAGACACTATTAAAAGTCCAAATATTAGTTATGGGAGTCCAAGAAGGTGCAGAAAGAGAAGCTGGGTTTGAAAATGTATTTAATGAAATAATAAGGGAAAATTTCTCTAGAGAACAAACTGGGAAACAACATCCAGGAGGGGCACAGAACTCCCTACAGGCTTTATCAAAGAGATCTTTACCATGACACATGATCATCAAGCTCTCTTCAATCGAACCTAAGGAAAAGATCCTTAAATATGCACTTGAAAAAATTCAACTGACATATAAATGAATGCCAATTAAACTCACAGGAGACCTCTCATGTGAAACTCTGCAGGCAAGAAGAGAATGGAGTAACGTTTTCCAGATTCTAAACGCAAGAAATTGTCATCTCAGAATATCATACCCAGCAAATCTTTCCCTTGTTTTTGAAAATGAAATAAAATTCTTCCACAGTAAAGAAAAGGTAAAAGAATATGCCTCTTCCAAACATGCCCTAGAAATGAGAATTAAAGATGTTTTCTTGATAGAGAAAATGAATAGCGCCCACCAAAACCAGAGGCAAACCTGAAGAACAGTAAAATAACAACAAAAAACTAAATCAATGTACAACCCAATCGCTAAAATGACAGAACCAAATTACCACCTATTTGTATTAACCCTGAATGTAAACAGCTTAAACTCAGCAATCAAACATAATAGATTTGTAGACCGGATTAAAAAAACCTATCTATTTGTTGCCTACAGGAGATACATTTCACCAACAAAGGTCAGTGGAAACTTTATCTCATGAATTTTGATTGTTTTGTTAGTTTCATCTCTTCAAAACACTCTCTTCTGATTAAATTCTTCAATGATTCATAGATCATACAGTAACATCATTTTTTTTTTCCAAGAAGGTTCTTGATTTTCTTTTCCATTTCTCCAGTGACATATTAGTCATTCAGTAGCTTGTTACTTAACTTTATGATGTTGTTAATTTCTTTTTTCTTCCTGCTGTTGATTTTGTTGTGTGGCTTTTCATTTGACCGGATGTATAGTTACTGTGTAATGGAGACTATCATATCTAGATGTGAGGATACAATGCAGTATGCATCTCTACTTCCAGAGAAAGATGGACTCCCAATGAAACTGTTTACTATATCTTGACAACAGGATGCTGGACTCTGCCATTGTCCACACCCACAATGATGGACATATGACTGTATATGGGGAGCTATATTATGGTAATGATATAGGGGAACTCAGTGAGGGGATAGGGAATTGGGGAGGGGACAAAGGAAATCCCAGAGTCTATGGAACTGTATTATAAAATGATAATAATATAAAGAAGTAAAAACAAAAAAGAGTTTCCTGGAGTGTAAATGGTTGCATTAATATTAAATAGAAAATAGGAAAACATATGTTTTAGAAAAATATTCCTTATAAGGTATAGTAGTTTGTGGAATGTTGAATCCTAGATAAAAATTATAAGAAAATATTAAAAACCAAACACATGAAGTTTTTATACTCCCCTTTTTCCTGGGTCATTACATTTTCCCCCCAAGCATTTCATTTATTTACTTTCTTACAATTCCAAGAATAAACTGACATTCCTTTCCTGCTTCCCTCCCTCCGACGTCTTTACAAGGCTGATTCTGAGGAACTTCTCTCCCTTCTTCCTTCCTTGTCTTCCTTTCTCTGTGTTTCCTACCTCCTCTTCTCCCTTTTCCTTCCTTACAGCCAATGACTAAGAGCATGGTTTTGGAACCAACTAAATTTGAATTTAGACCCAGACTGTGACACATATCAGCATGGTTATTCATGGCATGTCAATTTAATATCTCTGATTCTTCATTTGTTTTTTATGTGTGACTGTGTTTGAAATTGCCCTCTTCGCTGTGATGAGACAAGTGAAGTATGTCAGGCACAGTGCTTGGGATATTATAAGTCTTCAATTAAGGAGCTATTATTCTCATTAATTATAGTTCAGCAACCTATTACTATGTGTCTACTTTGTATAAAGAATTGTATGAATCTCAGGGACTGAAAATAGACATAATTACAGTCTGTCCTGGAGGAAGCTGACAGAGAGAAGAGAACTAACAAATCATGAGGACTATTTTAGAAGATAAGTAAAAAAAATTTCTATGGGAATGGAATATTGAAATAAGAATATCAGGGTAAGCTTCACATAAGATGTGACAGTTGACTAATTCTCTCTTTGGTATAATATCATTTCAATGTACCTTAATATAGGGCTTGCCCAACAAAATCTCATTGATGGTTCTCAGTGACAAGATGCTAATACATAGCTAACATAATTAATCAGCTCTAGTAGCCTGACAGCTTTGCTGGCTCAAAAATACTAATCATTAGAAGGGTTTGTGGTTGAAAAATTCAAGATGTTCCACTGGTTTGTTTAGTAATTTGTGGTGGTGTTTACCATTTTGACTTTCTTTATATTGTCATCCTTCATTTAGTCCTTAGTGGTTGAGACTTAACTGTACTTGGAATCCAGTATTGTTTATGCCAATAACAAAAAGTAGAACTTTTGCTTCACACACTGAGACTATGTTTAAAATCAATTGGTGCCATTCTTACGCTTAGGTCTTTCAGGTGTCAGTGAAGGTTGAAATGCTTTTATAAATTTTGTTTCTCATGTCCTCTAGGATACAGCAATAAACCTGTCAGTGTAAATCAGAAAGTGCATGATCCTGGCAGTAGCGTTTAAAATAAGTTATGCACATACTGAGTTGTAAGACAGACATAAGAAAGACTTAGAATCTTTTGGGCTTTCTTCAAACTTATGTTTAGAAATTGCACATTAATTTTATTAACCTCTAGTCCTTCTTAATTTGACAAACCATTTTGTGATAGGTACTATATTTAAAGGTATTGCCCTGAAATCTAAATAAAAACATTAAGAAGCTGTGGACATTTTACAGTGTTTCAAGAGGAAGAGATGGAGAGTTGAAAGGATAGTGACATTATAGGGAAGCAGCAGACCGAGCAGGTGCAGTGTGCAGACAGACTCCCCCGGGAGCGGTAACGCTGCCTGGCTGATGCCAAAGCTTTGAGAGATGACCATGGAGGCTTTCTGTATGTCACCCAGAGGTTGTACGTTAGAAGGTGATGACAGGTTATTGCATGAGTCTGAGAAGACAACGGAGATGGTCAAGGACATACTTGAGTTGAGCATCACTAAGTTTAGTACCCAACGATTGGTGAGATTTAGGATGTTTGACAATAGGTAGATCAGAGACCAGTAGGTTTTAATGATGGTTAAATCTAACATCTTTCTGTTATGCTTAGTGTGACTTTTTTTTTTTGAATCAGTGGAGCTAGTTCATGAAACCTACTCTGCATTGGCAGTTTATTACTCTTGTGTTACTAGTGGTCTTAGGTCATCTTCATAAATAACTCATGTAAGTTGTCTGAGCTTATTATATTTATACTAATCATTATAAATAAAAATTGCCTTTTGTCTATTTCACTTCCAGGCTTAGAATGCACACACACTTAATGTAGGGTATTTGCTTCCATTACTAGCTTCTGTGATATACAATACTATTCTCATCAGGCATTCAACAATTTTTGAACAAATTAATGGCATTTAGGCAATCTCTAGGCAGCTGTCAGCCTGGCTAGTAGCTTCCATGATATCATGTACAAATCTTTACAATTCATTTCTGCTAACATCAAACACTAATATGCTCAGTTCTGTCAATAACATTGAAATATGAGGAATTTCAAGAATATAATGGGGAATGAGATTTAAAGATAAATGTACCTTGTTGCAAAATGTTTGAAATGTGCGCACATAAGAACTTCAAAAAAGTTTATGGAAAATATCAACAATGAAAAGCTATGTAGATTTCAATTTTTTGTTGTTGTGCCAAAATAAACTTACCTTTTAAATTCACTTTTTTGAAAAACTTTTTGCAGTTTTTATAGTTTAAAGCATTGTATCTAATTTGAAGGGAAAAAAAACCATTTATACAGATTCAGGAAATTTCTTAAGTTTTAAATGAAACATTTTGTCCTGCAAGTCTTTATATCTTGTCATATGTATCTCAGAAAACAGGAATAGATTCTCAAACTAAATGAAATTGCTCAATTTTTTTTGCCCTTAATTATTTGCCCTATCTAATTACATTTATTTCTGGAGGTATTGGGTGAGAATGTGATGCACGTTTCTGTCCCAATTGCTTTCATATGATATGGAACGCAAACTTACCTCCGGAAGCAGTGAGCTGCTGTCAGGACCCACGTGCTACTAATCAGGACGCCTCCACAATGGTGAGCGTTGTTGAGCTGTAGACTGACTTGCCAGGGCCAGTCTCCCTCATCAGCTTGGGAGCCTCCAATGATTCTCTCCTCAGACAACGTTATTAGGTCCGGCCGGGCCCCACATTCTATTGCAATAAAGGATATTAACAGCTTCAGCATGGTGGGGGCACAGAGGTTCATTCACATTTGGAAGATGTTGCAATTTGTCTACCACTTCTGGCTTTTACATGCCTGATGAATTATTTCCTGGGACACGTGAGATTTTTCCCAAAGTGTGATCAGTTAAATTTTGGGTTATACTTATGATTGTTGCTGTCTATAGAGTGCATTTCAGAGCACAATTGCAACTTATTTGGCATGTGGGTTGCAAATTCTACAGCGCTTCAGCACTCTCTAGAATTTCTTATGAGTGAAGGTTAAGATTGGTTCAGGTTAGAGTTGCCAGCTCAGGCCAGACTCCTGAGAAATGCCCTTCTCTATAGCCTTACTATTCAGAACGTGATTTGTAGACTGGCAGCGTGTGTACCTGCTGGGAGCTTGTTGGGAATGCTGACTCAGTTCCAGGCCAGAAGACAAGTAAAGACTTCTTGATAGTATTACAGTTCATCTTAGAACTTCCAGCATACCTCTGACACTGACATTGTTATGAACAAACATTCAATCACAAGAGAGTGGCTTTAAGGCCATGGAATATTCTACAGAGGGTCTGAAGTTTTCTTTAAATGTCTTTTTAAAATGTCTTAAGAAAGCCACCAGCATTCCAAAAACCAGTGCAGAAATAAGCTTGGAAGGACTGATCTCAAACCCTAATTCCTTTCCACACCTGTTGTCACCAAGCTTTTCTCTTGTATAGACCATTGCTTAGACGTTAATCACTACTAGCATTTTCTATTGTTGGGCTGGCTCTCAAAGAGTGCCCTGCTTAAATAGGACAACTACCTGAGGAGTTCCATGCTGTTAAAAATATACATGGAATATTGGTTCCACTGCAACATCCTCCAAATTCCCTAGTAGATTATTTAGGACAATTTTAATTCAAAATAAGCATGAATTAAATTTGTAAAAACACCCATGGTGTAGCATCACTTTGTAAAATCCCTCAATCATTTCATGCATGCCAGATTTTTCAACTCTATTCTGTCGGCAAGAGAAGTAAATTAATGTTTTCTAGGGATTGTGTTGTTGCTATCCTAACCTCAGAGTATGTAGTAGAATGATAGTGGAGGGTAGTGGGCTTGCACTATGTGCAATCCTTTAAGGTTACAGAAACCAAACTGACAGGACATTTTATTATACCTCATGATTAACCTGAACCTGCAACGAAGCAAGCTATTTTGGCGGTGAGAAGAAGCCATGTAAATGATGATATCATCAAACATGGTCTACAAGTCTGCAGAAATACCACTACAGAACTAGAGCAGTAAAAGCCTTCCAGAGCTGCCAAGAAAATATTCCTGAGGCCAAGCTTGAAGACAGAATGGGTGGGACTCCGTTGTTAGGTCATTCCATTTGTAGAAGGAGGAGAAACCTTAAGCATCACTCCCTGAGCCAGGGGGACCAGCCTTGTTTCAACAGCCACTCCCAGGGGTGAAGTTAGTATAAAGGAATTAACTGTCAAGTTCCTTGACAGTGAACTTGAAAGGCTAGCATTCTGCTGCCTTACATTTTGGTGAATCATATATAAAAAAATGAAATACTTACGTTGGGTGAAAATATTTTCTGTATCCTGGTCAGTAATCTCTAGAAATTTTAAAATATTGAAAATAAGATCAGTAATATGCCCTCAAAATTACTTCATTTTCACTTATTATTTCACAATTACTTGATGCATTTGCAGGCTTCTGCTGGAAAAATCTCTCAATAATGGACTCTGAAAGTCTCTGTTTATAAAATTCCCCTAATTTATTTTTGCAAACAGTAATGTTTGTTCCATTTTTTTGCCATATACTTAAAAGATATTCCATCTCATAATTCAATTTCAGTGGGAAAACATAAACATGTATTACAGATACAATTTGGTGGAAGCTGTATCAAGAATCAATTTTTCACTTATTCTGGTATAGCTGCAATCATGTGTAGGCATATACTAGAGTATTTCAAAAAGTTCATGGAAAACAGAACAAAGGATAGCTTATGTTGGTGTAAGGAAATTTTGAAATCTTATGCATGATGGATCCTCATTAGGTTTGTGGAAAATATATTTTAAAAAGCATATGGATTTCAAAAAATGTTTGCACCAAAACAAACTTATCTTTTAATTTCCATTTTCTTGCAAACTTTTGAAGTATCACTGTATGTATGAATTACTCTACTGATACTGTTCTCAATGCTGTAGACTAAACAGTGAGAGAAACACTGGAACAGTAGCATCAAATTATTTAAGGAAATTAGTTGAAGGAATCATTCAAATAAATTGAATTGCAAAGTGAAAGAACAAGGAGAGTGACTAATGCCAATTGAAAGAGAATTATAGAAGTTATCTTGCTGGAGGAAATAACAATTTAATTACATTTTGAAGAAAAACTTGGGGCACACAGAAGGAAACAGTCATTGCATATGGGCGAAATAGCTCATATCTGTGGAATTGTAGGATGCTTGTGCAGCAATTACGTCAGCACAGCTAATATGCATGTTATGCCTAGGGAAATGGGTGGCAGCTCCTGGAAAGGAAGCTTTTGTTGTAAGGGGGTGAAGCTTTGTTGATTTTTACTTGACTTTTATGTATAGGACATTTTTCTCTGCATGCTCAATAGATATTTCAAACTCAGTGTGGCAAAACTTCCCCCAAAGTTTGCATTTTATGCTACATTTCTCCATTTAGAAATGGTATCACTTCCACCAACAGCATGTGATCTGAAATTATTTTAGACTCTTCTGTTGCTCCTGGCCTCCAGGTTCTGCACCTTTCAACTACCCTTTGAACTAGCACCATCCTCTGCATTCCCTTTGCTACTGTTTTGATCCATGATTTCATCTTCTGACATTTGTATTATTGCAATACCCTTCCAATAAAAGGCCTTCAAGTGACCTGCTACTGTTTTTGTGCTTTTTTGTTTCATCTACCTCTGCTTAAGTGGATTATTTTTCTCAAAATTTAGATAAAAGTTATTTTCTTTCACATTAATTTTTAAATTAAAAACAGTTTTTAAAATTTTCTCTAAGATAAACTCAAACTTCCCAAAGCAGATTATCCTGCTCGCTAAAACCAGTGTATGCAATATAATTTTCCAAGAAGGATTTCCCAATGGGTGAGTATCGTATTTGCTTTACAAGCATCACAGGGGCCAAATAATTCTTGGAGACATAAAATGAGATGACCACTGTTTTTCTTTATTTTAAAATTGCTTTCACTATTTTCCATGATGCTGTTTTTTTGGTGTAGCAATTCCCCTCTCCTCCTGTTTTCTCTCCCTCCCCATGTTCCTTTCCCATCATTTCCTCCCATGTTATTACAGTAGTGCAGTCCTTTAGTAACAGTTACAAGTTTACCAATCTGCTATTTAAGTGCGTCATGGCATGATAGGTTTAGGAGATGGTAGAAAACCTAGTATCCTATTGTCAAAGTATACTGAATTATTTCCTTGGGAGTCCTCCTTTTGTTCAAGGGTGGAGATGCATACTGCAACATATTTTCGATTCCTCACATGCTATTTTCTTTTGTACAGTTTATCTATAAGAATATATGTAAATACTTGTTCATCTATTTATTTATTTTACATTTTGCATGAAGGTTGTATAAGAGAATTCATATTGTATTTTTTGGCAGGGGGGGGACTGCCTTATTTCACTGAGCATAATGGCCTACAGTTGGGATCATTTTGTTGCAAACAGTAGCATTTCATTCTTTTTACTGGTCTTATAGTATTCTACAGAGTAACAGTCTTGAGTGAATCCTGACTGCCTCGCGTGTTGATTGTATGTTACTCATTTTTTTCAAGCAGGGACAGTAAAAATATCAATGGGATATGATGACTGAAGGATTAAAGTAAAGGGGACAATGCATATAGGCACTTCAAGATATGTGTAGGGCCCGGCGCTGTGGCGCAAGTGGTTAAGTCCTCACCTTGCACGCCTGGGATCCCATATGGGCGCCGGTTCTAATCCCGGCAGCCCCGCTTCCCTTCCAGCTCCCTGCCTGTGGCCCGGGAAAGCAGTCGAGGACGGCCCAAAGCTTTGGGACCCTGCACCCGCGTGGGAGACCCGGAAGAGGCTCCTGGCTTCGGACCGGCATAGCATCGGCCGTTGTGCTCACTTGGGGAGTGAATCATCGGACGGAAGATCTTCCTCTCTGTCTCTCCTCTCTGTATATCCGTCTTTCCAATGAAAAAAATAATAAAAAAAAAATCTTAAAAAAATAAAAGATATGTGTAATAAATATTAACGTCTCATTAAGTAAATATGTTGATGACAGTGAAGAGGATGATGACAACACAAATTAGTTGCCATTCTCCAGGACTCACACTTCATTGTTCTGCCAAAACATCATGTTTACTGCAGATATCTTTTTTTCCATGCTTCCCCAAATCTGTCAGTTCTTTTCCTCTCATCTCAAAATTTGGGAAGTCAAAGTCAAAGTCAGGGTCCATTTTCTTTCATATAGTCTTTATGACTATACCAAGTACACAGGTCTCCTTCCCTGGATTCTTGCAGGATTTGTTGCTTTTACTGATCTTGACCATATCCTATATCAATTGTCAAGTCTGCCATCTTACTGGCTATTTTGTGTTGGTTCATCTTTTACCTCATCTACCAAGGAGTTTCTGGGAGGTGGGTACTAATTTTACATTGGTGCCCTATTTTCAGGGAAGAATTCCTTAATATATGGGATCAGAGGTAACCTCGCACATGAGCATCAGCCAGACAGAAAGGAAGTGACCGGACCATGCAGTTGAGTCCAGGATGCAGGATGAAAGGACTTGAAGGATGTGGAACTTTGTAGGCTTAATGCAGCGATTGCTTACCAACGAACAGGAAAACATTTCAATGTTTAAAAAATGGTATGTTAATAGGTACATACTAGTTCATTTTAAGAGCCACCAACAACGTAATTTATTAAGATAGTAGCACATTGCAAAGTTGGAGGGGTTTTCTTTCATGAAAAATTCCTATCAGTTTCATAACAATTATTAATTGAATCTATTATTTGTTAGACACTGGATGGTTGAAGGAAAGAAGGATGAATAAAGCACCCCATTTTCACTTTTGGTAATCTTGCAGAATGAAGCCAAATAATACAAAAATACTCAAATATTTTAATTATAGTATTTTAAAGGAATATTAAGAAGTCCTTGAGATGAGTCATTAGACAAATTGTTCTTTGATCCCGAGCATCTACTTATCATCCTATTGGGTATTCACAAATGGAAGAAAAAATCACTCATGCAGAGTGGTGGAGGGGCAACGAATCATGAATTTTTAGCAAATAAAATTTACCATTCAAATGCTAAATGATTAGTTGAACCTTAATTATTTGGTAGATATGTAGGTATATTAGATGGATGTTTATATTATATTTCACACAGTTTTATAAAATTTATTTTCACCAAGGAAGGTCCATTTCTCATTTAATTAACATGTACCTTTTAATTGATTTGCTTGAATGATGTACTGAAATGAAATGTTCTATAGGAAATGATACTTGCCTGTTACCCCAGATGAAGGGTTTATTTCCAAGCTTCCAGAGTTATTCAGCATTTGCTGTAAAATAGCCTGAACCTTCTTTTTCATTGTATCACCATTGTTGTTTCTAGTGAATCGGAATTTCATGACAACATCTGCTATCACGTTATTGCCATCCTGCCTGTAAGTAAAAAAAAAAAGATATTTTAGAAAAGAGACAATTATGATTTTTTTCTCACATCTATATACTTGTTAAACACTTTTGAGGAATCCACCTCAGGAATTTAACTTTAGAAAAGAATAACATCATTATATTCATACATGTAATAAGATACAGCTCCGTGCTGCCCCACAAATTTTATTTCAGTGCATAGAACACAATATCCATCATAGGATACGGTTGTCCTTGAAGTCAGAATGACATAGACTTTTCCTGTGTGACCTTGGGCACTATATTAAAATTTTTTTTAAAAAAGATTTGTTTATCTGAAGGGCAAAATGAGAATGAGAGAGAGAGAGAGGCTCTTCTGTCTTCTAATTCACTCTTCAACCGGCTACAATAGTTGGGGCATGACCCAGTCTAAAGCCCAGAATGTCCTCGCCTTCCACTTGCGTGGCAGGAATCCAAGCACTTGGGCCATCTTTTTTTTTTTTTTTTAAATTGTTATTTTCCATGGGACAGTTTCACACAACCTTACCTTCCTCTCACTGCTTTCCACTCCCACTGTTCATCCCCATAGTATCACAAAGACACAATCACTGAGTTCATGTTTATAAGCTTAACTTTCTGATGTTTAAATGCATCATGACATGGTAAGTATAGAACAAAGTAGAAAACTGGGGGAACCAAGAGCGATCCCGACAACCTACTAACAGGAGGTCATATGCACAGAGCAGGGGTGGACCCCAGAATGGAGCAGGAGGACAGGAAGAGTCTTGTATCCCACACCTGGAGACTCCCGGATCCGCACCAAGGACTGCATCCCAGCTGCCAGAGACCACGGGGAACTGGAATGCCTCTGGAGCCCAAGAACTCAGAGGGCATCCCTCCCGACCTGGATCTACTACATAGGATGAAAGAAGCCCGAAATCTTCCTCGTGGGATCCAAGGTCGTTGGAACAACAGCCAGCAACCAAGAGCGGTCCTCGGAATCAAAAGAACAGTAAACTTCCTTCGGGACTAAGGAGAGAAGCTTTCTCTGGTCCTTACTTAGTTCCAACTTTGGGTCTCCACCCTCTTTGCAATGACTATCAGGGTCGCTCCAGAGCCTCCAAACACACTATCAGGGTCCCTCCAAACACACACACACACACACACACACACACACACACACACACACACACACGAATAGTTCCCCTATATAGAGAATCATGTTATCTGCAAACCAGGATAACTTGATTTACTCCTTTGTTTTACTTTTCAAATGCTTTCTCTGCATCTGTGAGAAAATCACATGGCTTTTATTCTTCAGCTTGTTACTGTGATGTGTCACATTCGCTGATTTTCATTTGTTGAACCAAACTTGAACATGGACATAAATCCTACTTGGTCTAGGATTTTTTTTTCTGTGTTGTTAGATTTGATTAACTAATATTTTCTTAAGAAAGAATTTTTGCATATAGTTCATCAGGAATATTGGGCCACAGTTCTTTTTCTTTTTCTGATTTTAGGATTAAGGTGATGCTAACCTCATTAGAGGAGATTAGGAGGATTCCCTCCCTTTCAGTTGTTGTAAATGGTTTGAGAAGAATCAGAGTTTGTTCTTGAAAAGTTCAGTAGAATTCAGCAATAAGACCCTTCAGTCCTGGCTTTTCCTTTACTTGTGTGTGTGGGAGATTTATCATTGTTTCAGTCTAGATGTTAGTGATTGGTCCATTTTGATTTTCAGTGTTATCTGGACTCCATTTGGGTAGATTATTTATGTCTAGAAAATCTATGCATTTCTTCTGGATTTTCCCACTGTTGTCATGTGGCTGTTTGCAGGACTTCTGCTGATTCTTTGTATGTCTGTGCATCTATTGTTGCATCTCCTTTTTCATTTCAAATTTCATTGATTCGAGTCTTTCTTTTGGTCAGTTTTGCCAGTGGTTTATCTATTTTTGTTAATTTTTTGAAAAACATCTGTTGAATTCACTGATCTTACATATTTTTGTTTCAATTTTGTTCATCTCTCCTCTAATTTCAATTAGTTCTTTCTGCCTAATAACTTTGGGTTTGGTTTCTTAGTGTTTTTGCAGACCCTTGAGATGTATTTGTAGATAATTTATTTGATGCCTTTATGATATATTAATGTAGATGTTAATTGCTGTGAATTTCACTCTTATCACTCCTTTTACCATATCCCATAGATTTTGATATGATGCACTCTCCTGTTTATTCATTTCCAGGAATTTTTTTCATTTGTCTTTTCCATTTCTTCTATGACACTTTCTTCATGCAGTAGTGTGTTGTTCAGCATTCATGAATTTGTGTATTGTTTGGAGTTTCTTAAGCTGTTGATTTTCAGCTTCATTCCATTGTGGTCAGAAAAGATACGATTTTGATTTTTTTTTCCACTTTGCTGGGACTTTCTTTCTGACCTGTTAGAAGGTCTATCACATAGTCTGTAGAGTAAGTTCTAAGCAACCGAGGCATGAAATGTTATGTAGATATCAATTAGGCTTATTTGGTCCATAATGTTGATAAACTCTGTCATTTCTTTGTTGATTTTCTGTCTAGTTGCTCTGTCCATTGAGAAAGGAGGGTGTTGAAGTACCTCAGTGTAATTATGTGGAGTCTGTGTCTCCCCTTAGGTCAATTAACAATTGTTTTAGATACATTTACTATTGTCACACCTATTGCTTTATTGCCCGTTTCATCTCTCATGAAAGATTTTTTATTTTGTCTGGCATTATAAGGGCTGTGACTGCTTGTTTTTCCTTTATGATATGGAATATTATGTACTCTTAAAAATATTAAGGAAGTATTTTTGCATGAAGAAAATTTAACTCTGAAAGAAACTGTGAATATAAGAAGAAATAGAAAGCAAAGAAAATGATAAATTATGGCTGTAATTTTTGCTTACACTATTACAAGTGCTGATATGAGTAATAATTACAATGATGAATCTAGAGGCATTAAAAGCAAAGTGCACCTGAAGCATCATAATAATGGTGTGAACAAAAGTTCCAAGTTTCCTGAATTGTGTGGGATGAGAGTAATGACTTAAACCAACTCTTGTTTACAATTTAATGGTAATCATGCAGCTAAAAGAAATATGTGAAAAAAGTGAAAGAAAATGAAGAAAACTCAGTTGTCCAAGAGAAATCAGTTATAAAAGGAAGCAATAGGAACATTAGGAGAAAGAAAATAAAAATATGAAACAAACCTAATGCTAATTCCTCACAGTAACTGTCAATCAAAGTTCTTAAAGACAAGGATGATCAGCATGCTCTAAGAGAATTAAATCTGTATGTTTGCTTATTGCAGAAACAATATAGACTGCAAAGATTTGTACTTTTTGAAAATCAGGGAGTATGAGCTATATTAAGCGTAAATAACCTTAAGAAAGCCAATGCAGTCATAGTAATGCTAGAATAAGCAAGATTGATATGTCTTTAAGATTGAAAAATCATTAATTATGGATAAAGAGGAGTAAAATACCTTGATCAAATTAATAATTCATGAGTTAAATGTGATTATTTCAAATATATAAACATATTAACAGACACATGAAAAACTGCTTCAGATAACTAACCATCAGGCAAACACAGATGAAAATCACAATGAAGTTTACCTACCCCCAGTTAGAATGACTATCACCGAAAAAACAAAAAACAACAAATGCCAGCCAGGATGTGGTATAAATAATACCACAGTCTACTGTTGTTGGGAATGTAAGCTAGCACCACCATTCTGAAGGACAGTTTGGAGATTCCTCAGAGATCACAAAATAGGTTTACTGTACAATTCAGTTACCCATTCCTGTGATTTTACTAAAACAAAATGAAATCAGCATGAGTGGGCTAACTATGCACCCACGTTTATTGCAGCTCAAGTGAAAACAGCTAAGCCATAGAATCAACTCATGTCCAGGAATGGGTGAGTGGATAAAGAAAATGTATATATAGTTGATGGAACATTACTTATCCATATTGAAGAATGAAATTTTCCTTTCTGAAACAAAGTGGTTGTCAACTGGAAATTATGTTTAATGAAATTAGTGTTCAAAGGACAGATGTTTGTGAAATCAGTTGGGGGGGCGGATAGAGAAGGGCAAGTGGGGAGGGTGGAAGGGGAATGCCTGAGCCTATAGAACTGTATCACAAAAAGCAATGAAAATAGGTAAGAAAAAAAGTAAAACCTAAGTATAGCAATATTAGTAAGAATGTAAAACAATAGTGTCTTTCAGATACTGTTTGTTGAAGTGAAGAATTGCACAGCCATTTTGGAGATTACGTTGTCATTTTCTATCAAAGATGAAGATGCTCCACCCTCATAATCCAGACTGCTGATTCTAGATATTCACACTTGGAAAGTCCTCTCTGTTAAACATGAAAGAGTGCTCATTATAGGATTATCTGAATATAAAAAACTAAAAAAATGTAATAATGTAAATGTTCAGTGAATAAACTGATGTTCATACATTAATATAATAATGAAAATATGCCACAACTAAATAGCTGAATTTAGCTGTGTTAACAGAAAAAAGTCAAATAAATTTATAGAAGGATGGCACAATTTACATTGTAATTGGAAAATATTCAAAACAATGGTACGTATCAGTCATGCATATGTTCATATATAGCTGAAGCATAGCCACATCATAAGAAAATGATTGTGGAGTCCTATTCTCCTTTACATCCAAAAACCATTCTACCTTAAAAGTCAATTCTACCTCAATGTTTTAACAGGAATCCCGTTACTTTTTGCCATCACTGTTATTATCTAATCAAAGCCATCATAATCTCTGTGATTTTTAAAAACTTTGTTGCGATTTCACCCTACAGGATCTCCAATTTGTTTCTTGCTCCACCACTTTGTATGACCCACAGGCTAGACTTCTGCATCCATGCCTTAAAATCTAAAGCTGAATCATGTCACTATGTTACAACTCACTCAGATTAAAATCCAGAGCGCTTACCTTGGCCGACAAGACCTACACACCTCGGATTTGGATTGTCTCTACCCAGTTACCTCCTACCATGTTATCCCGATGCCTTCGCTGGAAGCCACACAAGCATCTTTCCCCTTTGTTGATGATGTCATGTAAGTTCCCAAGGCACCTGCTGGTGTTTCTGCCTGAACTACTCTCACACATTCCAGGTGCTTCTCTTTTCTTCACCCATCTACTTCAACATTTCTTCAGTCTTCCCTGTTTGTCTCATTTGAAAGTTCTTGTTTCTCTACCTTAAACTGATTTTCCTTTACCCCACTTTATTTTTCTTTGTGATAGTCATTCCATGAAGGATATGTATTTACATGAGCTTTTTAAAATCATCTGACATCCCTGACTAGAAGCCAGTCAGTTTTGCACATTGTTAGTTTTGCTTTGAGTACAAATTCTCTACCTAGAACTGCAAGTAGGGTCTGGCACATAGCAATCACTTATAAGGTTTTCATTGACTGAAAGCTAGTGGCAGGCGAGGAAAATGACATGATAGTGACATCCAATGGAAATTACAATCATGTTTAGTTTATTGTTTTTTTTACCTAAGATCTAAAAATGTACTAGAATGTTGCTTAGACAAATATTGGTATTTCATAGAAGGCATGTGTTTTATTATTTTCTGTGATGTTGTCTATATGCAAAATAATATATCTGTGGTACTGGGCTGGGTGCTGTGGCCTAGCGGCTAAAGTCCTCGCCTTGAATGTGCCGGGATCCCATATGGGCACCAATTCTAATCCCGGTAGCTCCACTTTTCATCCAGCTCCCTGCTTGTGGCCTGGGAAAGCAGTCGAGGACGCCCAAAGGCTTGGGACCCTGCACCCATGTGGGAGACCTGAAGGAAGTTCCTGGCTCCTGGCTTCGGATTGGCATAGCACTGGCCATTGTGGTCACTTGGGGAGTGAACATTGAACGGAAGATCTTCCTCTCTGTCCTCCTCTCTGTATATCTGCCTTTGCAATAAAAATAAATAAACCTTAAATAATAATAATATATCTGTGGTAGTATTGACAGAAAAGGGTCATTCCATCTGATACCTGAAATATGAGCAGGAAATGAATGGATAAAGGTGAATAAGTTTTAACATTTGTTTCCTGCATTCTGATACTTTAACATCTTAGCTACTTGATGAATCTGTGGGATAATTTTCAGCTTTCCTTCTTGAGCAACTAGATTCCAAGCGATGCTCTTGGCTGGGCTAGGTAACATTAGTTGGATAGTATTTAATAGAGGAGAAATGATAGTCTAGAGATGGGTATATTAAATCTGAATCATCTGCAAGGAATATCCATGGAATTATATTAAGAGAATGTGTCTATACATGTTGAGATGGAAGAGGACTTCCCATAGCTACATTAGACTAACCAGCTGAAATTGAAGATTCTGAAAGGAGGGAATGTAGACTGAGTGCACAAAATACTGATAGTACAGTCTGATCTTCAGCAAGAATGCACAAAGAAGGAATAAGAGCTGGCAAAAGACTTTAGGAGCAGTTGCTGGAGAGGAAAGAGGCAAATCAGATATAGGATCATAATATCCTGGACAAACCAATGGGGCCAAACACTACACAGAGGCCAAAGAAGAGAAGTAGCATGATTTCTCTGGGATTTATGATTTCGATGTTAACATTGAAGTTGGCAAGAGGAATGAACATTTTCTGATGTGGTCAGAAGTCAGGTTGCAGTGGATTGGTCAATAACTGAGAAGTGAAAAAGGAAATGAAGATATAGCAGTGGCCTATTAGTCCTCCGATTTTGAAGGTGTATCTTTGAATACTATTGACTAGCACAGAGGTTCTCATGCATACACAAAAATCTAATGGAAAATGGCACTGAATAGGCCAAAATGCATTTTGAAAAATATCCATTCCATGGCTCTTGCTACTCTTCCATGTCCTGAGAATTAACTGATATACCTGATGACTTTCCAGAGAATAAAAAAAATAAATTTTTGTGGTGGTAATATTTGAGAAAAATTTAAAATAGAACTCTTCTATCTTCCAAAGATTTTTGCACAGTGTGTTTGCATTTGGGGCATTTGTGGGAGAGTAGATGAAGGTGATTATTTTAGGTAGAATTTTTACATTAAATCATATGGGCAGGACATATTTAGCTAAGAAAAATGACAAACAACTAGCACACATATTACTCCTCTACCTATTATTGGTCTGTAATAGACACATATTGGATTAGGCCATAACATTCTTTTATTAGGAAGACAAAATCAAAGTCTATTTTTGATGCTTGTTGTGGCATACTGATTTTGGATGGTTGCTTCCAGCCATACAGTATTATCCACCAAGTGTACAGTCTGTCCTATGAATGGTGTCCACTCCTAAGGTCAGGTTCATCCTGACCTTAATTTCAACAATCTCTCCACTCTTTCTTCCTTCTATTTGGATTGGAGTGCAATGGTTATTAGCAACTAAATAGAACATACATGCCATTTTGTGTGCAGGGGCATTGTTTGTTAAGCATCAAAATTTTTATCATAATAACAAATTATACCAATATGTTATTCCTTATTTATGCTGCGAACAAGAGTCAATTCATGCAAAGTTTTATCTACACTTATATGTGTTTCATATATTCCACTTACCTCAGTTTGACAACATGAGCTCGAATGAACTGATTTTTTAAGCTTGATCCTTGGAATGTTTGAGCAATCTGTATAAAGTAAGACAAGATTTCCGTCATTACAGTTCTCTTTTCCAACCTTGCAACATGGGAGTGATACAAAGGAGGAGTAAAGATCTAAATTTTCAGTTGAGTTCTGTATGGTTTCATCACAAAACACATGGTATGTGTCAGATTGAGTCTTTACCGGGAGTTATTCTAACATGTGGGATATTTACTCATGAGAGCTTGTGTTATTTGGCTTAGTGGTTGTTATTAAAGGGGTTTGGGGATGTACAGAAGTCAAGATAACACTAGGAAAGTCTGTTTATATAGTTGACAAAAGGTGACAGTGCAATACCTTGTTTATTTAGAGGAACGAAGAGCTATTGAGTCAGGTTAACCTGAGTAGCAATGAAAAACTGCCCACGAAAGTACAGCCATCAAAAGCATTCTGAAATGGAACTATGTACTGCTGACTACTACAACTTACAGAAGCTAAGCATCTACTTTTAGTAAATTTTATATTAAGTCACTGGCCTTTTCTCTTCTTTCAAAATTAACAACCTGCTCAGATAAATTTACTTTCACAACTGCTTTATTTTGTTAACCATACTTTCGATTCATGTATTATGTTGGAGAAAAAACAAATAATTGAAAATAGCTATCTCATGTCTTCCCTCTATGGAGAGGTAGTGACGACGCTAATTTTGTATTCTAGAATAGTGTGTAATTCTGACCCTGCATAATAAAGTATACAAAATAATGATAATATTAATTATTTAAATATATTCTAACAAAGGAAAAATAATTAAATATGTTAGTAGGACAAGTTATAAATGTTCCATACAAGATGTTTATAATCATAATATCCTTTTCATTTCTATAGAGAAAATGTCTTATTAGCATCATATGATGTGTCCAATAAGTCACATTCTTCAGTACTTTACCATTCAGTAATTGTATTTTGGTTTGTATTATTCATGAGCTAAATTAAAGGAGTAATGTCTTTATTATTTATTATGATCTAGTTGCACTTTATTTCCTGTTTAGTGGAAAGATGTGGAAAGCTCGGTGTTCAAGGAGAAAATAAAGTGGCCTATGTGACAACACAATCCCTCCGTTATTGCAAGTGTCTCCAAATATTTTTGATTACACATTCCTGTGGTTAAAACATCTTATGCATGGTCAGCCAAAAGACACCTTGACTTGTGAGGTACATATGCAGTGACACTGTACAGCTAAAAATGGGCATTATAAAACATTCACAAATAAGAAATCAAAAAGGCCTAGTTATAAAACATGTACTTATTATAGTCTACTTATTTAGAAATAGTATCAGTGTTGCAATGTGACTGGCTAGAACCTGTCATTTATAAACAGGATGCAATGGTTCAAGTCCCTAATTCTAATTTAATTTCGGTATGTGGTTTTAAGCACTGAAAAAGTCTCCATGCAATTATGTGGCATGGACAGATCTAGCAAATCATGCCACTAACTTTTCAGTCTTACTTGTCAGGAAAAGCTTTGGTTGAAATTAGGCAAATGACTCCTGTCTTTGACGAGACTAAATGAAAGATGTTGCACTATATATAAATATATAAACACGCACAGATATACATATATCTATCTATACCTATACATATCTATCTAACTAGGAAATGTGTTCAAAATTCATCAAACATGACAGTTCCTTTCATCAACTTTTATGTGTAATGCCTCAGCAATTTCATCCATACCATGCTTCATATCTTCAGTACAATGCTATAAGTGAAACCCAGAAGCAAAGATACCAGATATTCGCTGTGATATAAGGCAACCTTCATGCAAATATACAATTAGTAGCCCTTTCTTTTTTTTTTAAAAAGATTTATTTATTTTTATTATAAAGTCAGATATACAGAGAGGAGGAGAGACAGAGAGGAAGATCATCGTCTGATTATTCACTCCTCAAGTGACCGCAATGGCCGGTGCTGCGACTGTCTGAAGCCAGGAACCGGGAACCTCTTCTGGGTCTCCCATGCGGGTGCAGGGTCTCAAGCCTTTGGGCCGTCTTCGACTGCTTTCCCAGGCCAGAAACAGGGAGCTGGATGGGACATGGAGCTGCTGGGATTAGAACTGGCGCCCATACGGGATCGATCCTGACGTGTTCAAGGCGAGGACTTTAGCTGCTAGGCCACAGCACCGCTGGGCCTGATCAACAGCCCTTTCAATACTGTTTGTATTACATCTGAGGGGTATGATATTTTGTTCTTATTTTCATTTCTTCAAAATATGACTTTCTCTTATTAAATTGTAAATGGACACAGCTGATACAGTAGCATCATTTTCTTCAGGAAGGTTTCTGATTTTTAAAATTTCTTCAGTGACACACTTGTCATTCAGTAGCATGTTATTTAACTTCATGCTGTTGTAAATTTTCTATTTTTTCCTGTTGTTGATTTTGTTTTATGGCTTTTCATTTAAGGGGATGTACAGTAACTGTATAACAGTGAAGCATATTGAGATGTGAAGCTACAATGTAGTTTGCATCTCTATGTCCAAATCAAAGATGGAACTGTTAAATATGTCTTGTTAAATAGGATCCTGGACTCTCTGCCATTGTTCATACCTGCAATGTCAGGACATACTTAAATAGCAGATTGATGGACTGAGTAACTTTATGAAGGACTATACTATTGTAATAATATACAGAAACTCATTGAGGAAGGAAGGTACTTGGGGACGGAGGGGAGGAAATTCCAGAACTATGGAGCTGTATCATAAAATAATAATAGGAATAACTTATAGAAAAGAAAACCTAATCATCTAACTTTGTGAAACAACTATTTTCAAAGCCTCTCTTCAAACTCTTCTTGCATATCTTGAAGAAACAGTTTAGATGTGTGTGATGTATTAAATGCCTTCTTAAGAAACAGGCCACTGACTTACATTACTTGACTAGTATGAATTTAATAAGAGATAAATTTCCACATTATATTACTGTTTGTTCATTCCTGTGCATGCATGTTACCTTCAAATTACACATTTTCATACTTGTTTTTATGTCATGGAATTCCACCCAATCCCTTGTTGATTAGGGAGAGATTTGAATTTACTTTTAGATTGGATAATTTACATTTGCGGTTGTAACGTGCCCATCAGTGAGCTTTGCTAAGTGCAGGAAACGGATGCTGGAGCATAGATAACCCCGCATTTATTGCCACCGCTCTCCTGTCCTTCAGGACTTTCCGTGCTGACCATATAACATACAACCAAACAAGGATGCCTTATCAATCCATTCATTATATAGTAACAGAGCAAAATTCCTTCCCTTCTGTTTCTCCAAAAGATTATTTAAGAGAAAAATCTGAGCGACCTTGGAATATTTTCTTCCATCACTTCCATAAATTGTTGACTTTCTCTTGGATCTGCAATCTTGTTCCAGAGATCCCAGAGGCTGCACCTTGACTATAACCATGTTATTTTTGCAGCGAGGTCTTAGCTCAGGAACTGACAGAGAGAATGCATGAATGGATAAATATTTAAATGTGTAGTTAGTTTGTTAACTAGATGTGCTAAAAATGAATTTTGTCCAAAAAACTGAAAGTATAATTGAAGTCATAAAATTAATCCTTTTTTTGTGAAAATATCATTAGATGTATTTGAGAACAAAATGATAATTATTGTTTATAGACTTTTGCTGCAATTTCATCCCTGATAGAAAAGGAGTGTTGTAACCGGTTCAGTTGGTTATAGGTCTGACTGAAGTCTCTTGATTTATTTGCAGACACCTACCTAATTAAAAGGCGCTCATTTGTTTGGATCCACATAATTGGCAAACAGGTGCTTCATTGTTTTTGTTTGGTCTTGTTCATTTATTAAAAGACAGAATTTGAGCTTCTCTTGTGTTCCACATAGGGTTCAATACCACCAGGTGTTGAAATGCAAATAAGGAGTCCCACAAGGAAAGATAGACACTAATTAAATATTCATATGCAGCTAAGTAAAATTATAATCTTGATAAACACATCAACATAATTGAATGATTTAATCCAGTAATGATGTTAGAAAGACTTCTCAAAGGAAATGTATTGTGGCTATGATCTTCTGCAAGAAATCAGAGGAGGTTATATGAAAGCAGAGAACGCTGCATGGGCAGCATCCAGCAGATGGTGCTGAAAGAATGAAAAAAGGTCCAGGGCAACCGTCCCAAGGAAGAAGAAAAGTGGGTGAGAGTGATTGCAAGGCAAGGCATTGCAGGTCTTGTCAGCAGGATAAGCTTTGAGTCATTATCACAAATAATTGAAAGCCACTGAATTGTTTAGAAGAGGGTAGCATAATCAGATTTGTAACATAAGAATAACCTCTTGCTGTGTACAGGCAATCAGTTTCAACGAAATAATGCAATCAGGCAAATTATCTATGCTTTTGATATTTCATGGTAGAGTTGATGGCTTGAATAGGCATTGCAGCAGTGGATATGAAAAGAAGTAGTGGATTCTGGGATAATATCAGTAACAAACTGAATAATTAGAATAATTTAAAAAATATTTCAAGAATCAAGTCAATAAGAATAGGAATGATTGAAAAAGCCAGGGTTGTGCAGGGACATAGACTTGACTTTGAGATTTAATATGGTTGAGGTTTTCTGGGATAGCCTGGTAAATATATCAAGCTAACAATTGGCTGAGAAGATTTAAAGTGCAGAAGGAGGGTCTAGGCTGGAGACTACGTAAGTCACTGATGGCTGAGTTCATGGGCATGGGTGAGCTCATCTGGAGATAGACACGGTGTGAGAAGAGAGGAGAAGATATTTCAAAGCTTTCAAGGATTGCAACATTTAACAGCTGTGTAGAGGAGCAGTAAAGGACACAGATGAGGCAAGAGTAACCAGAGAAGCTGGATACAGGTGCCTGGGGGAATTAACGCCTTTTGAGAAAATCATAGATTTTTAAAAATTAAAATGCAGCACAAAATTTAATTTTACCAATAAAGAAACCGAAGGTAGAAAAAAGAGAAGTGAAGCCACTGTGGCCATCTGGGTGAGTGAACTAGTGGTTGGAAGATCTCTGTTGCTAACTCTTTGAAAATAAGGTAAATTTTTTTTGAAAAAAAAAATGAATTAGTATTAGAAAAATTTCTGAGGCTATTACCTCATATTTTCTATGGGACAAGGATAATGATGATATGTTATAACTGGGAAAGGATGTGACTCGATTTTGGGGGTTAGGACATTACGGGTTAACTGGATGTACCATTTTCTGGTTGAATGTTGTTTGGCATACGACTTTTAAAAATAAATACTTATTTTTGTTATTCAATAGTACAGTTCTGTAGGCTCTGGAATTTCCTGTTGCTCTCTCCATATCTCTGCTTCCCTGCCCCCCACTAATTTCTCCCATGTCATTACAATAGTGTCACCATCTTTCACCTTGTTGGAAAGGGAGGAGGAGAAGAACAGAAGAATGGAGAAGGAAAGGGAGAAAGAAACTCTCCCCTCCTCTGGTTCATTTGCTGAATGGTGGGGACGTGGGGGTGGGGTTGGGGGAGCCAGGCCAGGGACTGAAGCTGGAGGCAGTAAACCAACTGAGGCCTCCCTTGTGGCTGGCAGGGGCCCAAGCAGTTAAACCAATGCTGCTGCCACCCAGGGTCAACCTTGATGGGAAGGTGCGATCTGCAGCTCTTCTGGCACTAGGGCCCAGGCACTCGGACAGGGGATGCGGGCATCCCAGCTGACGTCATAACCTCTGGGGCAAATGCCCATCCCTGCACTGTGTTACATGCCTTTCTACACGACTGGTTTACTAATTCATATATATATTCTGAGTTGAAAGGTAGCTCACTTATTTGAAAACATTTGTAATATGAAGCACTATGTGCTTTAAGCATTCAAAATGCTCTCACAGATGTTTAATATTAAAGATTAGTTAGGGAAATCATACATTAGAAGAATCTCAAGGGAAATTTCTTCAAGAAATTTAGACTGGCCAGTTGATTTTATCTCGAAACAATGGGATCTCACATTACAAAGGACATCACTAAACAGCTTGGGAGGTGACCACATTGGGGGAGGAGGTGGCTCTGGTGAGCCCAACATTTTCATATTTTATAGTGTGTTTTCTAACTCAGGCTTTTAGCTTCTTGACTCTTTTCGGGACCGCTGTAATGAGCTTCCAAGTAGCCTTATTGTGTGTGAGCTGAACGCAAGGCTCTCAGAGCCTGTTTCAATCGTAGTTTTCCACCTCAAGACTTTTGCTGTTAGATTTTGGTCATTGTGTACCCTATTTATTTAAATATTTATTCAAATAAATGTTTATTTATTTGAAATATTTCAAATATTTATTTATTTGAAAGTCATGGAGAGAAAGAGAAAGGAAGAAACAGAGATCTATTTGCTGGTTCAGTCCTCAAGTGGTGACAAAGGTCAGGGCTGGTCCAGGTACACAGAAGCCAGGAGTCTCATTCATGTCCCCATGTAGGTGACAGGGGCTCAAACACATGATCCACTTTCTGCTTCTTTCCCCAAACCCTTAGTAGGGAGGTGGACTGCAAGTGCAGCAGCTGAGACCTAGCCAGTGCCCATACAGGGTGACCGTTCACAGACGATGGCTTTCTGTACTGCATGACAGCACCAGCTTCACCTTGCTCATTATTATAACCAATCAGAACATTGCCTTTTATATGAAACTGCCTCTGACTTCCACATCCAAGTATAATTAATCCCCCTTGCACACCTCACCAAGCGCATGCCTGTGTTGCTCTCCCGCCAGTTCCTTGTATAAATCTTGCATTGTAGACTAATTTAGTCTCTTTCTCATAGACTTCCACATCTCTGCCTTCCAAAAAGAAAAATGTTTACAGTATTTGATCGGTGATTAATAAATATTTAGTGTAGGAGCAAGAGTTTTTTTTTTCTGTGTTATAAACATGTTCTTTATCCTTAGCTCACCTGCTCTTGATTCCCTTTGCAAATCATTGGGATTTAGTTATTCATTCTCACCTCATTAACCATGTAAGTTACACACTTGTCTTCACTTTCACTGTTCCATGCTTACCCTTCAAGCTTTTCATACCTTAACTTCTCATTGGAGAAAACTGTGTGAGCCAAGCTGAATAATAAGTTCCCTGGTTGAATTGTAGATAAACTTAGTGGTTCTCAAAATGTAGTCCCTGAGCCATTTAGCATCTTTTCCCTGGCAGGCAGCCCAGGGACTTTGAGAAAGAGTCCAATCTTGCTTTGTGTATTTCCATCCAAACTAAATTGTTACTGATGTGGTAAACACATTTTACCATATACTTCCTTGAGCTTTTAATTATATAGGGCAACAAGAAAGAAGACAAAATGAAAAGCATTTAAAAAGGCAATTTTGTGCTTAGCTTGCACAAACAATAGACTTCTAGTCTTGGAAATCATAACCAGGTGAAATGGATTTTCAAGACCTTCTCAAATTACTTGCTAATAACTTAAGAGGATGATTTAGGAACACTATACTAGTAAATGAAGTTGGAGAAAGCACAGAGAAACTTCTTTCACCATTGCAAAGGAGAAAATCGCAGAGCACCTCGCAACTGAAACCCAGACAAAATTGGTTTATTATCATAATAATTCCATAATGGGATAAAACTAAGATAAATATCAACTTACCATGGTTTCAATTCTTTCACTCAAAGACCTGTATTCCTGTGTAGCTGGTGAATTTAACTGATTGCTGTATTGAACATTTAGAATTTGAAAGCTGCTTTGATAAAAGCAAGATTTTTGAGCTGGAAGAAAGGAGAAAAAAGGACAATCTCATATTACTAATTAGTAGAAAAACTTATTTAGGATTACACAATTATAAAACATTTTATTTCCTTATGTGGAAGAAAACTCCAATTTAGCATAATTGTGATGATCACAAAATTATTTTTAATAATTATTTTATTATTTAGGGTTTGCACTGCCAGCCCCCCTGTGAGTGAGCATTAGAAAGTTCTTTATGATTATCTGGAAAGGTTTTCTCCTATGTCAATATCAGGCAAGGAAGGAAATTGTGGCCTTTTATTTTCTAGAGATGGGAAAAGTTGGCTATCTCAGCATTGGGAGCTCAAAACCTTGGTTTCCAATGCTCAATCAATATAACTTTCTCTCTCTAGACTGCTTCTACAGAGAGCCGGATTGAGAAATCTTAGCCTACCTTGGTCTGGATAGCAATGTCAGTGGGAGGGGTGAGATCAAAGGGGATCTGCAGGCAGGGGACTGCATTGTGCACAGCCACTTAAGCCGCTGATTATGGCATCAGCTTCTTGCTAATGCAATTGGGAGAGCAGTGGAAAATAATGCAAGTACATGAATCCTTACCAGCCACATGAGAGACCCAAAAGGAGTTTGTGGATCTTGGTCTCTGCCTGGTTCAACCCAACTGTTAAAACATTTGGGCCATAAATAATGGATGGAAGATTTTACGTTACAAGTATTTCAGGGCATGAGCATTTGGCTGAAGGGTCAAGATGGTTCTGATTACTAGCTCCAGATTCTCGCTTCCTGCCAGTGTAGATCCTGGAAACCAGTTTAAATGTGATTGACTGAAGTGATTATTTCTTACCGCTAATTTTCTCTAATAGTAATAATTCTTTCAAATTATTGGAAAATTTCCAACCTGTACATAGATAAACATCTTTACCTATTTGGGTAGGACAAAGAATAAATAATATTCTCTTGCATTTTCTATCTTCATTTTTTCATACACACCCCTTCACACCTACATGTGTGACTTGAATGTTTTAACAGAATTACGGCTAAAATTAAAGAACTCAAAGAGTATCTGAAAGGAAAAATTATGGTGAATGCTATTATCTATGAAAATTTGAGAAATCTACAGTAAAGCATTTTAAAGAATATTTGCATAGATTCTAAAGAAAGTTGCTAATAAGTGAGCAGGGCATACTTTTGTGGCATGATAATAATTTAAATGCAAAAATTGTAAACAAACACACGGTTTTTAAATATTTGGCTTTATTCCTTTCTGTTTCTCACAGGCAAACTCATCTAAACATTGTAAAGGCTGTGTTTCTAAGTTAGTGTTTTCAGGAAACAGAAGCAAAAATTCAATTCTTAAGTTTTTTTGGTGATATTTTTCCTCAATGATTTTATCAAGTATTATTAAATGAAGAGAGAAGTCATATTGACACAACTAGAAATGAGCAAATTTCAGATTCAGAGAAATTTCAAGTGATTTTTCTTTTGTGCCTAAAATAATTCTTGACTGGATAAGACCATTTTGTGCTCTAAAAATGCCCACATAAACAGAAGAGAAAAAATAATGATTGAGGAAATATATAGAAATGAATGTATATTTAGAGAAGAATATAAGTAAGTCATATACTCATGCAATATCAAAAAATAAAAGTAGTATATATAAAAAAGAAAAAGTCAAACCTCCATTAGAAAGTGTGTTCAGTAATTTAGTTTGAAAAGTAATAATTTTGTGGTACTCACCAAATGCTAAAAAGTAGATAAGTAGAGCTACAATCCCTGCCAGGATCACCACGGATGCAACGACAATGACAAAGATCACGCATGGATTCAGGAATCTGGAAGTTGATGATCCCCGTGCAGGCCTTGGAACAAGAAGCAAAGATCACAGAAGGTCACTCATTTCAGACAAAGAAGTCATCACTACAGGTCGCAAGATCTCCTTTTTTTCCTCATATATTTTATTTGTACATCATACCACTTAGAGGAATATAATACTGAAAATGAACCTGAACGGAACAAAGCTTTTCTTAGTGAGTATTGGTTTTGATGTACAGTTTTCAGCACTACTAAACTAATAACACTTAAAATGATGTGGTGGGAGAACAAGGAATGAGAAAGAAGAATAAGAAATAAGAATAAGAAATCTTGGCCCATCGTTTGAAATTACTTTTCTTTCTTTTGCTAGTTGATCAACTCTGTGGGTTTTACTGCAATGACTTATGAGATCCTTCCCTTAGTGAACAGCTCTGGCCTTCCTTCCTGGATACAGTGAGGAGAGGCTCGGAAGGAGCACAGTCACGGGCGAAAAAGCAGAAATGGGCCTTGGTGATGGGATCGAGACAACATCAAATAAAGCATCTGACACTTGATAGAGGGCCTGGTATTTATAAGTGTTTTGTAAATATTATGTTTATAAATATTTATTATTATTGTTTTATTGTTATTTATAACAATCTATTATTATATAATATTTATGCTGATAAATATTATAAATATTTATTGACTATGGGCCTGTTTCAGATTTAAAATTGTTAACAGACTGGGAAGCAACTACATTTAGCCAGATTGCAGTCTTGCATAAGGCACAGGGAATGTACCGCACATCACTGTTTCCCTGGTAGGATTTCAGGTTCTTACTAATTCATAAACCTTTTGATATTTTGCAGTGTATTTCATGCTCATTGTGTCCTTCAGCTCTGGGACAAGCAACAATTCAGATTACTGAAGACAGACGTAAATTTTATGAGTTTCAAATTTCTTAAACAAACATATTAAGAATTTCAAAATCTGGTTCACCCCAGAGCTTGATTGGTTAAGAAAATCCAAATTCATGACACAGGAAGGAAACAAAATACTCATGTTATCCTGTAGCAATTTTTGTGTCAGTTAAATGCAGTCACACCCTAGCTGGGTTGAGGTTCCCACCAAGGAGCAGAGGGCTGGAATTGGGGCTGCGTTCTGATCAGGATATGGTTGTAGTCTCACTTGGAACAAGAGTGGATTGGGATCGGATACACAAAACTGGGCTAGACTCCAACATCATCTGGTGCTGTGGAGGATCAGGGCAGACTTAGGCTAGTCCTCAGCCCCTACTGAGCCATGTGTGCGCTGTATGTGGGTGTGGACAAGCCGTGACTGGGCTGAAACATCCAACAGTAAGAATGAGATTGGGTTGAAGGCCAGTCAGGAAAAGCCACTGTTCCTGCTAGGACAGGAGGTGAACTGAGTAGGGCTGGCTCATGGACTCCCTGGCATTGGGAGAGATTCTGATGGAGGAGCCTGGGCAACTCCTCTGGCAGGACAAAGACCTGCAGGTAAGTGCAAGAAGCATGCTTGATAGGAAACAGCTCAGAACAGGCCATGGAAAGTTTCCCACTGGTATACATTTGGCATGGGTCGGGGGCAGACCAGGCTGAACCAGTTCACATCACCCACTGGCGAATCTGAGCACCAGAACAGAGTGTGGGTTGGGCCAGGTTCAGTCACAACAAAAACCAGTGCACATTACAGAATGTCAAGGTGAGGTTACCTGTACCGGATGTGGTTGCAGCACCCAACAGCACACGTGAGAATCAGGAAGGGAGGGGGCAGAGATAGCAGGGGGAGTATGGGTAGGGGTTCCCCTGCTAAACAGCTACTCCCACTGGAGAATGTGAGCTGGGATGGGGGCAGACCAGACTAAGCAGGGTTATAACACCTGTGGGCCTCATATGAGCTAGATCAGAGAAAAGCCGGGCTGGGCTGATTATTCCTACTGGTGCAAACTATAATTAGAGTGGGTGAGGGTTGTTTGGGTTTAGCTGCAGCATCAGCTGGCAGAAGCTAGCACTGGGGGTTAATTCCGCCATGTTAAACCACAGAACCATCTGGAGAGTGCATAATCCAGGAGTGGGAGTGGCCTAAAAGGGAAATAGTGGGCTCCTCCCTCTTGGGTTACCACTCTCACCGGAGGGCAACAAAACCAGGGCAGAGGCTGGGGTGGCTAGACAGAAAGGCACCCAACAACATTTGTGTGGGCTGGATAGTTGAGCTGGTTAGATGGAACTAGGCATGACATTGGTGGAGGGACTAGCAGCTAAGTGGATGACTCCATATGATTGGTTTCAGGTTGCTAAGGCTTGCCTCACAGGAGGAAACTTCCTTCTGTGGAAGATGGAATATGAGCAACTAGCTAAAGCAGAAGTAAAGTCTCAGGGTTCTGTGAGGCACGGCAAGTCTCTTACCTTAGACATGCTTTTAGGACAGGGTACTCATCTTGGTGTTTCAGAACAACTTACTCTGCCTAAGGAGACATTACAGCTTATCTCCTCCCTGGCACTAGGAGCATGGAAACGCCTGCCATCTGCAGATCAGAAGTCCTCGGGTTTTGTAAATGTTAAGCAGAAGCCTGAGGAGCCTTTTGAAGATTTTGTAGCTCGACTCACAGAAGCAGTGAGTCGGACAGTAATTAACAATACAGCTACAGATCTCATAGTTAAACAGCTAGCTTTTGAGAATGCTACTCCAACTTGCCAGACCTTAATTCAGCCAGTGAGAAGGACAGGAGATTTGTCAGACTATGTTAGAGCTTGTACTGAAGTAACTCCATCTTATATGCAAGGGTTAACTATTGCTGCAGCTCTTCAAGGTCAAACTGCTACTCAGATTTTAAAGAACATAAGAGGCAATCAAAAAAATAAAAAAAGAAAGGATTGCTATTCTTGTGGTGGAGTAGGGCATTTCAGCCACAGCTGTCCTGCCAGAAACTCATCCCAAAATTTCAAACAGGAAAAAACTTATGTGGACACTCCTAAACCTGATTTAAATATTCCTCGCACTGTCTGTCCACGGTGTGAGAAGGGATTTCATTGGCAAAAAGCTTGTAGGTCTAAATTCCACAAGAATGGAACAGTTCTATTGCCTCGAAGTCGATCTAAATTGAGTAATCAGCCTGTACAGGGTCAGATTCAGGGAAATGGGAGGCAGGCACAGTCCCAGGTCCACAAAACTATGAAGACATGTATGAATATCGGCGCTAAAGTGTACAAAACTAAATTGATGGCTGCTACTTTAAGCACTGAGTTAAAGCAAAATAGACGTAAATGTTATAATTGTGGCAAATTGGGACATATGTGGAAAGACTGTAGGAAAGAAAATACCCAAAATTTTGGTAAACAAGCTATGGGTTATCTAAAGGCCTGCCGCAACATCAGGACTTTGAAACATCCGGCCCACCTAGCAGGACTTAAAACCCTTGCTGTCCAAAAGCAAATGAATGCTAAATGTTTTAATTGTGATAAACTCAAATACCTTCAGAAGCAATGCCAAGCACCTCTTTTAGCTAAAAAATATGGCAGTAATACCGCTAAGGATCACTGCCTTAATATGTGTCCTAAATGTCATAGAAGTTTACACTGGGCAAAAGCATGTAAATGTAAATATAAATATAAAATTGATTGTGATGGCCAACGCCTGTGGTCAGGAAACTCCAGGCAGGGCAGGTTCTGGGCTCTGAACAATCAGAGGTTTACAAAGCACCAATATCCAATCCAAGCTGTGCCTATAGAAGAGTAACAGACTTAAAACCTGATACTGATAATTAAAAGTTGGTATCTTCCTTGGCAATTGATTATACTACCTGCTGTTCATGCCTCAATTGGATGCTTATGGCACCAAGGGCCTAGAGAGTGGCTACATCCTCCTTCCATGAATAAAAAAGCTATTACTCCTATTACTCTGTATTGTGCTTTGGTCTCCACCTTAATTATCAAGAGATATCATAGGCATAAGAAGCCTTTTGATAAAGATGTAAATAAAATAATTATTTGTTATAGCTCTAAACAGCTTACTTATTTAATATCTAAGGATGAGATAAGACAAATAGCACTATTTATCCTTGTGGGTATAGGAGATGAAACTAAACTGGGCCCACAGAAAAATACTTAACCTCTTGTACTTCATAAACAATATTTGTACAAAATTAACATCTTTTTTTAACTCTATTAAATTTTTATGTTGAATATTTGAACTTTATGAATATAACTCTTAAGGCATTATTTGAGGCATTGCTTTAAAAGAGTAACATTTACCCCAAATATGAACTGGTATAAAGGTAACATCTAATTCACTGTTAAATTTTTTCAAGGTATGAAACACACCCATGTACTTTTATCTGCTAGTCTTTATATTTAGATAAAGAATAAATGCAAATATACAAATGTGTTCTTGGTGAAAAAGGTTATAGAGGAAAGTTCTTGAATAAAAGAAAAAAGGCGTGGCTTGTAAAATATTCCTTCCTATAGGAGAATGGCTATGTTAGACTGTAGCGCTAAAGAGGACAAAATATTTACAGGATAAAGTTTGCTGAAGAAGGGATGGGAAAGTTATGGAAGCTGTGAAAGGAATACATCCTTTATTATTTATATGCAATATAATTAATCATATTCTTTACACACTGTTTGCAGTATTTTCTAAAATATTCATCCTTGATACATGGAATTAAAATCTGATCATCTGTTATAGCAGCAAAGTTTTAAAATCACATGTTATAACATCTTCTCTTAAATTTCTCTATCTAATGATTATATTTTTCTAGTTAGCGCCAACGAACTCCAGACCTGAATTTACTGAAGTGTCTCAGAATATGTAAGATTCTATATCGAGGTATCAAGGTGATATTTGTGTTTTCTGCCTTACAGTATGTTCACATTGCTTAAGTTTGATAAAAGTTATGTATTTATTTTATAGGTATTTAAGTGATCACTTAATGCCAATAATTAAATCTAATCCATATTGTGTTATATAAAGATATTCTATTTCAATTAAATATTATAAGTCTTGGCATCCTTGATAGGTATCTAAATAATTCAGAAATTTCATTTCGTAGATACAATA